AGCAAGTTTGAAGAAATCAAGGCCGAGAAGTTAGCCGATGATTCGGCTAACGAGATGTGGGACATAAACGAAAAGGTGCTCAACAACATGCCGTTGGAGGTGCATATTCCCGGGTACTTTTTGGACTCGACGGCAGTCAAGCCGGTGATACAGCCATTTGATCCACGGTTTACATTTGCGGTGTATCTTCAGTGGATCATGGACCATCCCAAGGAGCCATTGCCCTTCCATTGGTCTGACTGGGTTGATTTGACCAAATTACATAAATACATGTTAGCAGAAAATGGGAACAAGATATCATGCAAGGAGCTCTTTGATATTAGTGGGAACATCGAGTTGGTGCAGAATACGAACTTGGTTGATGTTCAAAAATATTGTAAGGACAACAAGGACGTTCCATTAGGATATCAAATCGTTGGATTCTCGGGCCCTCAAACGGTTCCAAATCACGAAATCTTGGGAAAATCGTATTTGTATTCAGGTGCACCATCGCCGGTGAGGTTAATCTTCATGACTGAGTCACTGGGATCATACGAGATGGACGTGTTGGACCACGAAATGAATGACTTGAAACATAGTTTATTGCATAACTCTATGGTAGAGTCATTGGTGGCTAAACTGGATGTGAAAACAGTGAATGTATTAAAGTCATACCAGGACTTGGTTTCGAAGGTGTCTCCTGAAAACAGTGAGCAGGTGTTAAGTGACTACGAGATCAATATTCCTAAGGAGTCTTTTAATATTGATCCACAAAACGTCATTAAGACGTTATCTGAACAAGAGAACTTAAACAAGCTTGAATCAGCCTATCTTGACTCGATCAAATATTCTACTAGTGAAAACAACCCACCTAAATTTTTCAGGGAAGCAAAGTTGTTAGAAAAACACCCACAAAAGTGGTTGGGAGAGCATTATGACTGGAGGTTCTTCAACGGTATTAACGTCGGAAAAGAAGAGCAGTTGTTATCTTTACATAGATTGGTTAAGAATTATCTCAGTTTCACCAGGCAGCATGGTATTGTGACATGGATTGCTCACGGATCGTTGTTATCGTGGTACTGGAATGGCATTGCATTCCCATGGGATACGGATATCGATGTGCAAATGCCAATTGGGGAATTATATAACTTAGGAAGACGTTTCAATCAATCCTTGGTGATTGAAAATGCAGGGGGTGATAATAAAAAGTTCAATGGTATGGGCAAGTATTTCATAGACGTGGGATCAAGTATCACCCACAGAACTAAGGGGAACGGTAATAACAATATAGATGCTAGATTCATCGATGTTGACACAGGGCTCTATATTGACATAACCGGTTTAGCAATAACTGGAACCCCAGCTCCATCAAGATATGATTATATAATATCTACAGACAAATCTAAACAATTAGTCTTGGAACAAACAAAGAAGGACGGCCAAATAGACCACAACGTTAAGAATGAGCAACTCCAAGCTTATAATTGCCGTAACAATCATTTTAACACTTTTGACGAATTGAGTCCTTTGGTTTTGTCGATTGTCGAAAATCAATTGAGTTACATTCCAAGTAACTTCATCATGACGTTGGATTACGAATATGGCGTAAAGGGTTTAACCAAAATTAATTTCAAGGACTATTATTACATGAACAATCTCCGTATGTGGGTCAAAACAAGCAAGGTCTTGGAATACATGAAAGATCCAGCTGCATGGTTGAAGAAGAATAAATCGGCTTCAATAGCTGATAAACCTGCAGCAGTATCTGCGAAAGAATCTACAAAGGAAGCTTCCGACAAAAAGCTTTCGAAGCGTGAAGTTTCGGATCTCGAAAAATTCCAGATCAACAAGTTGACCCTCGATAACCACATCGATTTGTTGCAAAACAACGATATCTTCAAGGAATTTGTCAAGACGGTCGAGTTCACCAAGGCACACGAGCTCGAAATGAAGTATCTCATGAAAGACGACTACAGCAGCGCAAAGGCCCTTATCGAAGACTACTCGCGTCAGTATAATGTGGGTGCCGGCTTGAGAAGCGACTTGTTCATGAATAAATTGTTCAAAGATGGCTGGAACTATGATGAGGAGGTTGAAAAATTGGTAAGGTTGACTGAGGCCTATAAATCTGTATAATAGAGTTGCATGGCACATGCCATATGTATAGTATTAATCGCACGAGCGACAATAAAGTTAATAAACTCAACCTTGATGTAAGGATGTCTATTTATAATTACGGATCTGATGTACGGATGTAGTTTCTTTTTGTTCTTGCGTTACGCAGCTCGTGTCCTTCTTCAGTGGGGAGCCGTATCATTCCGACGGCTGATGACGTGATCTCGGTCCGTATTGTTCCACATGACCAAATGTCCCATGTCGTGGCTAAATGTCGCGGGCCCTCCACGCCCCTACGTCATTGCCCCGTCCCTACGTCGCCTGCCGGCGCCCTGCTGACCCCATGTAACGATTGCAACCTGCTCCTATGTACCTTGTCTCGCCTTTTGATCTCTTTGAGTGCCCGGATGCGGCTTAGACACGTATCTTGACCTTCGTACTACGCCATTTTATTCCTATTTTATTCTTATTTTATCCATTACGTATTTTATTGGCTTTGGTGTAGTACGGCCTTATGCTACGCCTATTATTGTCGCCTTCCGGTCGATTTTCTGCTGTTCCGGCGTGGTTATTGCTATTTTGTTTAAACAATTATTGCATCTTTATCATACAATAGATTAATAACCCGTTTCCACTGGCCTATTGGCCACTGCATCATCGAACCTGCAATGATCAAGGTGATGCCATATTGAGACACAACTTGCTGCCACCCTGTCGTGGAAATAAGATACTATGAGCTATAACCATACTCCACCACCCGTCTCGTGACTGCAACAGATGGAACCACCGGTATGGTAATCCCGAACCATCCTAGTTACGTCGGCGCTTTCTAGAACGTTCGTCCTCGGCACATCCCCTGATATCATGCAGGATTTCCGCACAAGAATTTCGTGGGTTCTAATTAGGCCAAATGTGGGAAATTTCTTTTCTATCGCAGCTAACCATCCTTAGTCATATGCGCATGGTAATCCCGGTATAATTGCTGTTCTATAGTTGTATTCATAGTTAATGTAAATCGTGGCGTGTGGTTCTGTATATGAATAAGGCGTCGAAGAAAAAAAAAATTTCATTATTATTACCAATTTAGTAATGCATATGGCTTGGAAAAGATATATAAGTCCCGTTTATTCCAGGGTCAGATAGGAAATTAATTTTCTACTTATTTTACTAACTAAGTTAATAACTATTAATAAAATGCAATTCAAATCTGTTATTCTTGCTTTAGGTGCTGCTACTGTCGTCTCTGCTGCTACCAACTCTACCGGTGGTGGTGCCGTTGGTGGTTCTAACTCTACTGGCGGTGGTGCTGGTGGCTCTAACGGTACCGGTGGTGGTGCTGGTGGTTCCAACGGTACTGGCGGTGGTGCTGGTGGCTCAAACGGATCTAACGGCGGTGGTTCCGGCGGTGGTGAAACTGGTGGTGCCTCTGCTGTTGGTGCCGGTGTTGTTGGTGCTGTTGCTGCAGCTGGTGTTGCTTTATTATTTTAAGCTCACACCTACAATATTGACTTTATAATTTCAAGAGAAGAAGCTAGTTTTTTTTTCGAGTATAAAATATTGAAAGTACCCTTTTTTCAGAGCTAGCCCTTATTGAGCCTTAATATTACCAGGCCAAGGGCTTTTGTTTTATGTAATATTTAATTTATATATCAGTAATATAAACAATAAACCAGTGAAATACGTTGTAGAAGTTGTGGCGATATATGCTAATTGAAAGATGGTAAGCCAGAGTATACACCAAGATTACGCTAGACGGGAAAGTCAGATGTAACGAAAAGTTGAACTAAATTCCGAGAGCATCTTAGGTACTTAGAAAATATTGGGTGCGTGGTCTGTTAATTGCCAATTTCCTACTAATTTGGGCTCTTATTGTCCGGGAGAATTGATAGATACTGTGTTTGTCTGGGGTTCTATTGTTCAGGGCGAAGCATCTTTTCGCATGTACAAGTCCCGGTGCACACCTGACTTTTGTTATCGCATTGTTACAGTGCACGGGCATTGTAAAGGGTTTGCTTAACCATGATAGCCCAAAAATAGTAAGCACGACGATACAAACCCACAATTGAGCAATAACGCAATAGATACTACGCCCATACTAATATTCCAGCAATGCAAGATCTTGCGGCCATTACCTCTGATGGGCTTTGGGAAGATTTTGACGTATCGGGAGCTTAAAAGCTATATATGGACCAGTGTATATCCCGGATGATTGATGGCCGCTATATTGGATATATGGTCAATGGATGGTGGCCTAGATCGTAGGCAACGTTCGAATAAGATTCATCATGTCTATTGTTAGTAGATATTAAATCGTGAATGTTAACGTATATAATTATAAAATATTTCTAAATTAGGGCAAATTTTGAGCAAATTACCCAAAACAAAAAAAAGTTCTTTTGGTGGATGCAAAAGTTTAAAGGAGGCAAAGCCGTATATGCTACTTAGAGATTATATACCAGTGACTCTAATGATAATATCGTGTTCTATCATGTTATGATTGAAGTGGTTGCCTATCAATTGTAATATGATCTGTTAAAACTTTGACAATAAAGATAGCCCCAATGTAGCGATAAGAGTAGGGTAAAAAAAAGGACTTGATAATATACAGTGCTTCTATAAAATCAGTGTGAATATAATAGGATGAGGTTTGCTAGGAAGATAATAACTTAATAGTGTAAGTCTGCAAAAATGAATTTGGAGTCAATTTCAATATGCCCACATAGCGTAATGGTTAACGCGTTTGACTTCGAATCAAAAGATTGCGGGTTCGACTCCCGCTGTGGGTTCTTATTCTTTAAAAGCCGACCACAAAAGTGGCTGGGTTGGTCCCCAGGTTTTGGATATAACCATACTATATAATAAAAAGTCAACTCTCTTAAAATCTATTCTTTTAGTTTAAAAATAAAATGTCAGTATCGGATGATTCAGATCAAGGCTCCACTGGACGTATGCTGTCAAAGGCGTCGGTCCTAACTGAAGACCAAAAGAAGGTACGTAATCCTTAATGTATTTTTATCACACGCAGGAGACTAACAAGTATAGGCCCACCACATTGCCTCAGAACAAAAAAGAAGAGAGAATATCAGATCAGAGTTTGATAAGATTGTGTCGTTGACTCCAACTTTAAATGAGCTGGAGAACAGATCGGAGTTAAACATTCTTACTAAGTCTGCAGATTACATCGACCAATTAAAAGAAGACAATAATAAATTAATTCAGTTATGTATTAGTAAAGGTATAAACGTTCCTGACGAGTTGGTTTACAAAGGCCCAGGGTCAGGTTCGATGTGAACAATTGCGCATTTGCTACATGCTGGTCGTGAATATATTTTGTTCTATTAATGTATTATTTAGTTTAGTGATGAAATATTTATTAATTTTCCACTGTCCAAACAATTGTAAAGGCGAATGGCCTCTTTTCGTAAGTCCAACTCTGTAAAACTGGAATTATTTCGAAGTTACCTCCAAGGTTATTTGCATCCGCAAGTCTAGCGAATATTTGCAAACTGTGACACAATTTGTCGTTAAATTCAATTAGATTGCGTACTAGGTCACAATCATTTGTAAACAATGTAATGAGTTGTATGTTTCCATGATTGATATTAACCACATTTGATATTTCAAATAAATCAACCATTTTGGTGATTTCCAATGTCTGGGGCTTTGTTTCTTGTTCATCTTCATACATTCCAATACTATTCTTGAAACTACATCCACCCCATTCAATACTAGCATTTTTCGGTAATTTTTTCACTTTAACAATGATTAAATTCTTTGCATCATCACTGGTGGCGAGTTCATTAATATACTTTTGCCATGTTTCACTGACAATATCCAAGTCTTTTGCGTCAACAATAAAACAAATTATGCTTCCGATATCAGGAACGCCGATTAATTCTTTAACGCGATGCAAATGCTGTAACGATAACACAGAGCTGAAAACTCTGGCAACTGGATTTGATAATTTTGATAATTCCATTGATGAAGGCACTAAGGCTATTTGCCCGGAAAGTGTACCTATTTTATATTGTGAGCTTTCTTCAACTATACTCTGAGAGTAAGGACCAATGTTCTGTGGTGCCCAGTACGATCTTGATCTAATATGAATACCTTGTTTGACTTTTGGATGTATGACGATGCATGACAATTGAACCAACGTAGAGCTACTTAATGTAGTTTCAATACATATACGGGAAGGTGGTAGATAAAACTTGCTAAATTGCTCTTCGTATACATTATTAACTTCACTGAATTGATTAATATCCGAGAGGAGCAAGGTTATATGCTGAATATCATTCAACGAGGAATTATGGTTAATCAAGATGTCGTCCAATTTCGTGAAAATATCGACTGTTTGCTCTTTCAATGTAGACTTAGTACTTGTTAGGTTAGAAATATATAATTTATCCTTCGCCGAAGCCATGCAAATCTCTGGTTGGCTTTCGACGCCATTTAGTTTATCTTCGTCATATTGCTTGTCATCCTTGATTTCATCTGTGATTTCATCCGCAAGCTCTTCGAAAATGGTTGCGAATTGTTCACTTAGCAAGGCCGGTGGGGCCAATGTAGTATCTGAAGAGCCGTCCACCTTATCACGTAGCTCGACTTTGAGTCTTAAGTACGAAACATCATCATTTGAATGGTTGACAACCTCCTGCTCAATAATTTCTAACTTCTTATGCTTGAAAAATGGCGCATCTAGCACTATTGTTTCGAATTCCCCCCCTTCACCACATATATGAACCTCATACATCCGGTTCAACTTGATTAAGTGTGGGTACAACTGCTGAATCGATTTTCCCAAATGCGTGGCATTCAACCCGATTGCTGCAACCTTGATGATCCTGGCATCCAACTGATTATTGCACATTTCTCCCATCAACTCAAGCTGATCTCGCTGCCACAAATATGCAAGACACGTCAAACCCAACCTCCCACATACGTTTTCGACCCTCGTTCGCTGATAATGCGATAATATTGCCCCACAACTGACTCCCTCTACATCTGGATGTTTTTCCTTCACCATCTTGAGCAATACGTACAAATCTTCTATCTCATCCTCCTCTGTGATTGAGTACTCCAATCGTTGATTCTTCGATGACCCAGTAATTTCTTGTCTGTAAAGCGGAACCTCCAAACACTCACTGTAATATTCAATTATATCGTGTCCCACTGTTTGGAACATAAACGAATCAATCTCATCGATACCGGTCTGCTTTGGATACAAGTTCCCCAATGCTACCAATTCATGTCCCCTTGATATGCTATGGTGTATATTGAAGAACGAATCCTTACCACCAGACATTAGCGCTACAAACTTCATTCTACACCCAATATATCCCATAGTTAATCATCTTGCTAACGAAATTCGATTACTTAACTATATCTAACCCGCAAAACCTTCTATCTCAAACTGTAAAAATACTTTTCATTTTCCGGTCACATAAATCCGACTGAAAATTACGCAGATCAGCGTAAGTCTGATATTGGAGTATTGACCGGGAGAAAATGGCAGCTGCTTAAAAAAAAAAGTTTTTCAGGCATTCTCGCTAGTATATAAGTCCATCTCTCGCAGTAAATAATTTTTCACTCAATTTTTTTGTTCAACTAAACTAAAAGAAGTCAATATGCCTCGTATGTATTCAAGCATTATAACATAAATACTTCTAGCTTCCTAAAATGAATAGCTTGCTACTCATTGAGGTTCGGGTCCTCGTTCATTTGATCATTGTATCAGAGCTTATTATTGTGACTAAATTCCCGACACTTTAGTTACAAATAATAGTAATAAGTCTCATCTGTTTTGTTTTATACATACAGTTCTACAGACGTTTCTGTCGTAGTGCTCGTGTGTGACGAAGCTTATCATTTGAGGACTTATTATAAAGCTTTTATATTTTGTCGTGTGACGAAACCCGTAAATTTCAGAAGTGTGTCGCAAGAAAACACATTCTAACATTAAATAGGTGCCCCAAGAACTTACTCCAAGACTTACTCTGTCCCAAAGCAACCATTCGAGTCTGCTCGTTTAGACGCTGAATTAAAGTTAGCTGGTGAATACGGTTTAAAGAACAAGAGAGAAATCTACAGAATTGGTTTCCAATTGTCTAAGATTAGAAGAGCTGCTCGTGATTTATTGACCAGAGAAGAAAAGGACCCAAAGAGATTGTTCGAAGGTAATGCTTTAATTAGAAGATTAGTGAGAACTGGTGTCTTATCCGAAGACAAGATGAAATTAGATTATGTCTTAGCTTTACAACCAGAAGATTTCTTAGAAAGAAGATTACAAACCCAAGTCTTCAAGTTAGGTTTAGCCAGATCTATCCACCACGCCAGAGTCTTGATCACCCAAAGACACATTGCCGTTGGTAAGCAAATCGTCAACGTCCCATCCTTCATGGTCAGATTAGACTCCCAAAAGCACATCGACTTCGCCCACAACTCCCCATACGGTGGTGGTAGAGCCGGTAGAGTTAAGAGAAGAAACCAAAACAAGGAATCCGGTGACGGTGACGCTGAAGAAGAAGAATAAATCATTTGATTTTTAGTTAATATTTACTTTCACTTTAAATTAATAATATATTCTAATTTGGTCTTTTCCAATCTACTTTTCATTTATATTTATGTAGTATAGCAAATTAATGGTTATTTATGGGTAATTTACTTTGTAATCGAGCGAATACTACTGTTACCATTCCCTATACTAAACGTACCTCCAATTGACCTGGCTGGCACCATGATACAGCACTTATCACCATGTTCATGAGATCACTATAGCTATTACTTAGTTAGGGTTCCAGCCCGATATTACACAAAAACCTCGAAAATGAAAATTTTCAATCCTCGCTACTCACACTAGCTATGATAATTTCAATATATACATACATTTTAAAGGAGATTTGAAGGTTTCAATTATACTTGAACAAGATTAAAAATGGGTAAATCGTATGTGTCAATAACATGAACTTAACATAAATGAGAGTATTACGTATCATATGTTGTAAGGGGAAGAATATTCGACTGAAAAATATTATGAATGTGAAAAGTCAAACTATGGGAACAGAATCGAAATAGAGGAGAATATCTTGTATTATTATGAATAAGAAAGAGTTGACGCTTAATATGAGAATGTCTAGAAGAAAATCGGGGAAGAGAATTTTAACGGCTTCCATGATCTAGGTTATGGTCCAGATTAGAAGAGATGGAAAGTGAAATAGAATAAGATGTATGATACGAATCCTCAAGGAAGTTTGTAAATTGGAAACTTAATACTAACATAATTATAGTCGTGGTTATAGATCTGGTACTCGTTACCTTTTTCAACGTGACTTTAAGAAGCATGGTGCTATTCCATTATCTACTTACTTGAAGACTTACAGAGTTGGTGATATTGTTGATATCAAGGCCAATGGTTCTATCCAAAAGGGTATGCCACACAAGTACTACCAAGGTAAGACTGGTATCGTTTACAACGTCACCAAGTCTGCTGTTGGTGTTATTATCTACAAAGTTGTTGGTAACAGATACCTCGAAAAGAGAATTAACTTGAGAATCGAACACATTAAGCACTCTGCTTGTCGTCAAGAATTCATCAACAGAGTTAAATCTAACGCTGCTTTAAAGAGAGAAGCCAAGGCTAACGGTGAACACGTTCACTTGAAGAGACAACCAGCTAAGCCAAGAGACGCTAGAGTTGTTACTACCAAGGAAAACGTTCCACAAACCTTAGCTCCAGTTCCTTATGAAACCTTCATTTAATTGCTTTATTATTTTATGTTTGTTAAGTTGGAATTGAGACTTGATCGTTTTTCTTTTTAAATACAAAAAATATAAATTAATGCATGTAAAAGTATAAAAACTCCATAGTAACCATAGCTGATCGCTTCAGTTATATACTCTTGAACTCTGTAGAAGAAACTCCATATAGATAGTAAACAACGCTTACTGTGGACAAGTAGGCGAAATACGTCACGTGATATATATACTACTTACGATAGAATCAGTTACCAGAATCAAGGATTAAACAATATAAACCCAACCAAAAGAGAACGAATATTATTAGGTTTCAAAAGAGGGAAATATGGCAGAAGAAGATAAAGCCAGTTCAAACCCTGGACTAGATACAAAAATTTCTAAAGTCGAACAGGTGCAAGAAATCAAAGGTAAATCGCAAACCTCGAGTTCATTCAATTCTGCATTACAGACGTGGACACAAATTGATCTTCCTTCGCTACAAAAGAAATTGGATGTTCAAGGGTTGGAGTTGAAAGATGAGCAGGCAAACTCTTTATTGCGTAGGAAAAACTTGGCGACCAAGACCAAAGAATTCAGAAAGTTGGAAGACCCTGACAAACTCGACCAAATTAAAGGATTACTCAAGTTGTATCAAAATGAAATTGACTCTTTGACAAATAAAAAGAAAGACGTGGAAGGTTATTTCTTTGGGTTTTACCGCTTGTTGGCTGAAGCACCGGATCCTAGACCTCTCTTGGAATTATCGTTGGACGCGGTAATCGCATCTTCTGAGACTGAATCATTAAGGAAGGAAGTATCAAAATTAAACGACGAGTTATCAAAGAAGGCGGATTATGATCAGTTGAAACAGAGACTTTTGAGAAATGAACAAAAATCAGCAGAGTTGTTAAGTTCCAAGTTGCAAGCCAAAGAAGAAGAGTTCAAGGCATTGATTGATGAAAAACAGAGCAATTGGCTCGAGAAAGAGAAGAACTATGAAAAGCAAATGCACGAGACAAAGGCAAAAGTGGAAGAATTAAGAACATCAAAAGAAGTCACCGAGTTGCAATTGACGTCGCATAATAAGCAGCTTGGAAGTACGGAAACGAATGCGTCTGCTTCAGTATTAGCTGAATTAGAAATAGTTTCAAGAGATGCAGAATCAGCTAAGAAAAGGGTATTTGAATTGGAAAAAAGAAATGAGGAACTCAGACGAGAGTTATCTAGATCCAAGAGTGATGTCGAAAGAAAGAATTTGAAAGAAGAATATGAAAAAAAGGTTTCAGAGCTTGAAGGGGAGAATGCATTATTGATAGCTAACTTAGATCAACAAAGAAAAAAATTGGATGGCATAACTAAGGAAAATTCAAACAGAACCGATTCATTCAATAGAGAAATTTCTCAATTGAACCAAGAAATTAAGAATTGTAAAGAAAAGCTTGAAAAAACTGGCGACTACGATGAAATTAAGCGTGAATTGTACTTAATAAGACAAATTGAATTCGGACATGACGAAGATGGTGTTGACGATGGGGTCGATTCTGACGGAATCGATAATAACCGCAAGCAAATTGATTCACTCTTGATTCAAAGAAATAAAACCTTAACTCAGGAATTGGCTGACTTCAGGTCTCAGCATGATGATCTAACCAACAGAATCAACAATTTGGATTCCGAGCTTACGAAGGCCAATGAAGAATTAGTCAAGGCTCAGGAGTTGAACCAAAGGTTAGAAAATGATTTAGCAGGTGTGCAAGATGGACAAAAGTTTAATGACAACATGAGCATGATCTCAGGCGTGAGTAGAATAACCTCAGGACGTCCGAAAAATGGAAGTATTGCATCTTTAAACACAGTAGGCTCGTCACCTGCGTCGGGAGACGTGTCATCAATATTACCTATTATTACCAAGCAAAGAGACAGATTTAGAGATAGGAATAATGAGTTGGAAGATGACCTCAGAAAACAGTATAATATTGTTAGTGATTTGAAGAGACAAATGAATAGCCTTAAGAAAGATAATGAGGAATTATATGAAAGAACCAGATATTTGGCATCTTTTAAGAACAGCAGTAATAGTGGATCAGCTGAGACCCATTCATTCAGCTCCAGAACATCTAATAGGAGACTTCTCCAGCCTAAACCAAATTCGATTGACCTCGAGCGCAACCCATACCAAGAAACGTACGAATCCAAATTGCACCCCATCGAACAATTTAGAGTCCGCGAACAGGAAAGAATTAGTTCAAAGCTTTCCCCAATAGAGCGATTATTTATTTCACTTACAAGAGCAATTCTTGCTACTAGAACTACCAGAATGCTATTTATGGTATATTGTTTCGGCTTACACTGTATTGTTATGTTTATAACAATCTATGCGATGGGCTTGAGTACCCGAATGATTCCAGAAGTGGGTATGAATAACAGTACAGGAGGGGTTGCAAACGGAGTCGCAGGAGGCCCTGATTCCATAGATAACATAGCTGAACCTGTTCCTTAGGCTATACTATCAGAATACTAAATATCAATTTTCTGCATATAGTCATTTCTAGTCATGTGAAGCAACCACGATAATAGATAAAGCTTGCCAACTCCTGATTGCCACCTATTAATACTTTATTTATAATTAATGAATCCAATCCTATTCAGTTGTATAATCTTATTATTAATATATATTTATTACAATTTCCGTGGTACAAACATGTCAGAAGATAAAAAATTAACCCAAGAGGAGCTCGATCTGGAAAACTTTAATCCAGATAACTTGATGATTAACATGGGTGGGAAACAGGTACCATTCAGCTCAATTAACAAGCCCCATCATGTAGTAATTGATCCAAAGCAACACAAACCTCAAGTTGATCCAAATTCGTTTCCAGATGTCGAACCTGAAGCTAAGGCTAGAGAACAGAAGTTGGAAGAAGAACGTAACAATTTGAAGGAAAAAAAGGACAGCTAATGGCTACTACTACATGGTTAATGATGTTACGATAGTAAAGATGTAACTTAATTGTTACGAACTTGAAGCTTGATAGATTAGCGATTTTTTTTAGAGTAATCTATTTAAATTAGTTATGTTAAGAATATACATGGTTGATGCTACAAACTTCTGATATTCGTAGTACATCTTAATGGTTGCAAGCCATTGCAATCCCCAGTTATCATGGACTATTTCGTCATATAATTGTAGCTGTGTAAAGCATTAACTAACCTTTCGATGATACCTACTAGTCATATGCAGGGCGAAATCATTTGATTTAGATCTCGTTCATCAGTCAGCTTAATGAATAGGCCACTGATTTTGAAGGGTTATAGAATTTGTGAAGTTACAATGTTTGCGCTACCTAGGAGGTGGATACGCCAACTAGGCTATCTTTTCTTGGTATTCTTTATTACGATAGTGGTTCTTCTAGTGGCGAATAGAAAAAATGTTGGACTAAATGATTATTTACCAACCGGGTTTTTACCATCATTTTTCCAGCCGGCTGCAGACCTGTTTATTGTTGATATAGCAATAAAAAATTGCTTCAAGATGAAGTCGAAGAATGAAAATTGTGGTGTTCCAAGTGCATCTGAAGGGTTAATGGGTAATTTGTATGGTTCAGGCCAGTGGCTCAAGATTGATAAAGATTTAAGTCTAGGATCTTCATGGTACCGTAAGGAATACTTCTCTTATAAAAAGGCAAAGAAGGAAGCATTAGAAGGTAATATCGTAATGGATGAAGGTGCAAAAGATACACAAAAGAGGGGAGAACCCAAGGAGAATAATCAAGTAATAGTTGATATTGCGATCTCTAATCCTTCGATTGACGCCAAGATACCAGAAAATGATAAGTTAAAAATTCCTATGTATATTTTGAAGGAATTTCATTCCGCGAAAGTGTATGATGATGGCCATCATGATGCGTTAGTTGAAAAACAAAAGACAAAGATGAAGGGAGAAAAATTGCAAGCATTGACTGTGGATAAGGATAAATCTGCAAGTAATAAGATTAATATAAAATTGGAGCAGGATAGGCAGGCCGCAGAAAGTGCAAATAAAGGTAAGGACAAAGAAAATGAATTGATCAGGATAGATAAGATCAAAGAAGGTGGTGAAGAAGATGAAAAGATTCAAGATGAAAAGAACTCGAAAACATCTAGTAAGAAAAAACCAGAAGATGAAGATACCCAAGAAAAGGAAAAGGCAGAAGAGGGTACCAAGAACGATAGTAAGGGCTCTAAGAATAAGAATAAAGAAAAAGTAGTCGAGAATAAGAAGGATGAAGCTTCTAACGAGGATAACGAAACCGACATTGACGACGAAGATAAGGAAAAACGTAATATATTAAACGAGAGAGATACTGAAACTACTAGGCATAATTTGGAGATAAACTATCCTATTCCATCTAAAGAAGAATTAGTCGCGTCAGGATGGACTTATAAATCTAACGGTATTTGGTTGAAGTATGGTAACGCGGATTCGAATGCTGTAACAGGTATTGATATATTGTTTGGTGAGGATGCTGTGGACCCAAGACCAAATTGGAGATTAATTAAAGAAGGTCCATTGAGGGAAGTTTTAAGTCCATCCGATAAGCCAGCGTATATTTCAATTCGGAAAGGTCCTAGAGTTGATTATAAGAAAAATATTAAACCACTCAAGATCAACACCGATGGAAAATTTAAAATTCTCCAGGTTGCTGACTTACATTTCTCGACTGGTGTGGGTAAATGTAGAGATCCATCGCCCGCGGAAACAAAGTCTGGCTGCCAGGCTGACCCAAGGACCTTGAAGTTTTTAGAGAAAGTGCTCGACTTGGAAAAACCGGATTTAGTCGTGTTGACTGGTGATCAAATCTTTGGCGATGAAGCAAAGGATTCAGAAACAGCTCTATTTAAAGCGTTAAATCCTTTCATTAAGAGAGGTATACCGTTTGCAGTTACCATGGGAAATCATGACGACGAGGGATCTTTGTCTAGAACAGAAATTATGAGCTTATCTGCAAACTTACCATATTCTTTAGCTTCCCTAGGTGCTGACGAAGTTGCGGGCGTTGGGAATTATGCTTTAACTGTTGAAGGGCCTTCGTCCCGTAATACAGCTATGACATTGTTCTTTTTGGATACCCACAAGTATTCTCTAAACCCTAAAGTAACTCCCGGGTATGACTGGTTGAAAGAATCTCAGTTGAAATGGATAGAAAGAGAAGCTGCAAGTTTGCAAAAATCAATTGCATCTTACACTCACATCCATTTATCAATGGCATTTTTCCATATTCCCTTACCTGAATATAGAAGCCTTGACCAACCTATGGTCGGTGAAAAGAAGGAAGGCATAACTGCTCCAAGGTACAACTCAGGTGCCAGGTCCATTTTAGGAAAGTTGGGGGTATCAGTCGCCAGTGTTGGGCATGATCATTGCAATGACTATTGCTTACAAGATGCAAAAAATAATGAAGATGAAAACAAACTTTGGTTATGTTATGGTGGTGGATCTGGTGAAGGTGGTTATGGTGGCTATGGTGGATATATAAGAAGGATGAGAGTTTTTGATATTGATACCAGTGCTGGGGAGATTAAAAGTTGGAAGAGAAAAGAAAGTGAGCCGGATGTAGACTTTGACCACCAAACTTTGGTATCCGGTGGTAATGTCATTAATTCCAACTAGATTGACGTCGCAAAGGTGTACATTAGGCTGAATTTTATATATTTATCTATGATAATATACAGTTATTCTTTAAAAATCTCACGCGCAGCCTTCCACACTGAAACGTAGATTCCAGATCGAAATATATAGGTACATTGATAGATTATACTTATTATATCTCTAACACTCTGGTAGTTTACAAAGCAATAATGAATGAATTGTCAGGTGAGCATAGGAATTCTACTAGTTTCACCATGCATTTGCTGGGAGACCAAGTTTTAGGAGAATTACATCAAGATTCCAGAGAATTAAAACAGTGGTTGATCAAATCTAATTGCCAGCATCATTACAACAAATTTATAGAAAATGGGATAACATTCGATCTATTACCAGAGCTAGATAGTTCATCACTTAAAGAAATTGGGATTAATAAATTAGGAGATAGGCTAAGATTAGAACTAGCTATTTCAAGCATGAAGTCTGAAAAATTAGCTGATAGTATTACTGTGGATGAGTTGTACAAGATAATGAATTTGCATCTGACAGACAGTATTACGCTGTTATCTGGGGGAAATGTCAGTAACGGATCCGTATCCACTCCTACAAATGAATCAGGTACCTTGACAACTTTAACTACTAACCCATATTTGCACAGTAATATTTCCTCCTCGTCCAGTGCTGCCAATAAGGATGCTAATAAGAACGTAACGTTTATTTTGCAAGATGGATCTACAAAGAAAGTGAATGTGACCGGATGTTTCAATGCACAATCAATCAAGCGTAAGGTATTGAAAAGGTTGGGAATAAAACAACAGGAGACATTGTATAATACATATATCCACTCATCGTTAAATAGTAGGAGTAACCCTGGTGTGAATTTACTTTTTGATGTTGAATTAGTGACTATTTGTTACTCTCCTGACAGGTTAGAAAAGCATAGAATAATATTATGTCGCAAGGATGAATATCCTTCTGATATGGCAATTGAGACCTCAAAACGACTCATGGCCAAGTATGAAAGATATAGCCAAACAGATTCCTTGAAGACGAAGAGCCAAGACAATTTCAGTCAATATCATATGCCTGATCTTAGAAGGACGCATGCTAGTCCAATATTGAGAAACTTCTTTGGACAGAGGCCACCTAGTGAATTGATCTCTTCCAACTTGGCTGAATATTTTCCAGAAGCACATCAAAAGGATTTGGAAGCGACCGTGCGTAATTCTGTCAGATACAGCGTTAGACTTTCACGAAGATTTAATCTTCCATCTTCCATACTATCTGGAGCGAGTAGTAACATTTCGATCCACAATTCACAGAATAAAAGGTCATCAATTTTAAGCAGTGGAATGGTGCCTGCTCCCAATGCAGCACCAGGAACCCCATCTATTTCATCAATGGACCAAAATTCCGCAGCTGCAAAGAGAAAACCTAGTGGAAGGACCATCGGGGAAATGATGGTAAGTAATATTAATGCAATCGACCAGGCGGTGAGTTCAAATGATGTCCAGTCTGTTTTTAGTAAACCGCAATCAATTGGATCAGATATCAGTGGTCCTGTCCAAGGCTCATTTGAATCAAAATCAATGAAACCTCATAATTCTCCTATATTAAATAGAAGTTCAATTGCTGCTAGCTTTGTTGATCCATTTCACGCAGATAACAATAGGAATTCACGTATCGAATTATTAAGCATTGATTCTGATGACGACGAAGATGACTTTATTGACGAATATGGTACGTACACAAGTGGAGAGCTTGACCATGATTTTAAAGATAACATGCTTGATTCTATTTCAGAGGACGGACCTAAGAATTGGTTACAGGGCGCTCGTATTGGTGCTGGTAGTTTTGGTACAGTCTATTTAGGAATGAATCCACTTACCGGAGAGTTGATGGCTGTCAAGCAAGTATGTTTACCCGATAAGAACAGTATAAACAATAGTCTGCAAACGTCCATGATCGAGGCTTTACAGCACGAAATGACGTTGCTAAAGCAAATCAACCACGAAAATATTGTGAGATATCTAGGATCCTCTACAGATGATAATTTCTTGAATATTTTCTTAGAGTACGTTCCTGGTGGGTCGGTGCAATCGATGCTTTCCTCGTACGGACCATTTGAGGAGCCCTTGATACGGAACTTCATTCGCCAGATCCTCATAGGTCTAAGCTATCTCCACGGAGAAGACATCATTCACAGAGATATCAAAGGGGCAAACATTTTGATTGACATCAAGGGAACCGTTAAAATCAGTGATTTTGGAATCTCCAAGAAGGTGGGAAACTCCGATGTCGACATGGACGACGAGACCAATAGTCAGAAAAAA